CAAACAAAAAAAAAGATTTTATGGAGAAGAAAAAAGAAAAGAAAGAAAAAAAATTATTACGAAAGTTTTTAGAAAACGAGTCGAGCTTGTTTTTTTTTTTTTTTTGTAATGTTTTCCCCCCTTAAAAAATTCACTCTTTGTACTGTTTTCCATGATGATGATAATGATGATAATAATAATGATAATAATAACGAAAAGAATAAGAAAAAAAATATACAATTACGTTTAGATTCGCAAAACGACGAAAAACATTTGAACAATTTATAAAATAATAATAATAATAATGGTTTCGTTTATAAAATTATTATTATTATCATTTGGGAGGTCGCGGACGGATTTTGGGGAGAGAGAGAGAGAGGGGGGGGGAAAGTAGAAAATTCGAGAAGTTAATTTTTTTTTTATATATTGTGAGCGATTGGAAAGTCATCGTCAACGACGACGTCCTTAAAGGTCAACCACGAGTTGCAATAATAATAATAATAATAATAATAATAATAATAATAATAATAATAATAATAATAATAATAATAATATTAATCGATATATTTAAATAAAAAGAAAAAAGTTGACCGGTTTGCCATCTCGATTGATTCGAAGGTAAAAAAAAAATTAATTAATTAATTTTCATACGTTCGAATACGTATTTTCTCATGTTATTCATGAAATGTCGTGTCACCAAATGATTCTAATGACACGAGTTAAAAAATATGTAAATATTTCATCCGTATGGTAATTAAATTTTTATTATATATTTAAAAAAAAATAAAATCACGAGTTTAAATCACGTGAAACAGGTGAAAAAATTTTTTTTTTTGCACATCATATTTATATAGAAAATTTGCAATCGAATTTGTTATCATCATTATTATCATCTTTCTTTCCGTACCTATCATCATCATCATCATCATCATCATAACATATTTGACCTCAATAATACGCAAAAAAAAAAGGATAATTCATTGAAAGTGAAAGGTCTTAAGCGAAATTTTTTTTTAATTTTCACTCTCTTTACATTTAACCTTGAATTTTCAATTTTCGCATAACAAAAGAAATTTAAAATAATTAGTCGTGGTTGTTAGTGGTTGTTGTTGTTATTGTAAAAATGTGTTTGTAGCACGCATTTCCTTTTATGTAACAAAATAATAATAATAATAATAATTTTTACGAGAGTTTTCTTTTTTTCTCGTCAACTAAGAATGAAAAACCCATTGAAAATTTTCAAAACAATAAAAATTTTTTTACGACGAGAGCACGAACAAACAAACAAACAAACAAACAAACGAAAAGAAAGAAAGAAAGAAAAAAAGAACCTCGCCTCCAGTTTAAAAAAAAAAAAATGGGCCCGGCACATCCTCCATCAATGAAATATTAGGTCACCGTTCGACCTTCAAGGTCTCTTCTTACCGATACCAGAACCGCAAACTACCTTGTCGGTGAAAGCCGGAAGCGGTAAAATCACAAAAAAAATTTTTTTTTTAATATCCTACCACGAACCTTTTCCTATCGATCCATCGATCGATATATCGATCGATAATTAATTAATTACTCGTGATTGATTTATGACAGCGAACCTAACGACAAGGTCTTAACCGTGTATAAATTTCTCGCGTGAAATCAACCGTACGGAAAACCTTTTACCCTTTTTTTTTTAATTACCGTTCAACATAATAATAATAATAATAATAATAATAATAATAATAGATTTTCCGAGTAATAAATTATTAGAAGAAACAAATAAAATAATATAAATGGCCGACTCACGAATACAAAGGAATCACGATTCACCTTTTGAAACGTTCCTTTGTCGTCGTAATTTTTCCTTTTTTTTTTTTTTTATTATGTAAATGGAAACCTGGAATGGGAGGTTGCCATTTTGTTTTTACAAATATTATTATTATTATTATTTAAAATTTTTTTTTTTTTTTTACCGCGAGTGAGCGTCGGCGTAAAATTATATAATTAAAAATTAATTCTAAAAAATTATCGATATCCATACGTTCGAAACCGTTCGTTTGTTTGTTCGATTGTTTATTTGTTTGTTTTTGTATTAAAAATTTTAAAGTGAAAGTAAAGATTTTCCATTGAATTTTTCCTTTTTTTTTTTTTTTTTTTTTTTTTTGTATGTCGAGACCTAACACGGAACGGTTTCAAACGTCGTACATATTTTAACAATTTGATTTACTAACCTCATTAAAGTATTATTATTATCATTATCATCATTATTATGATTTTCCTTTTTCATTTTTTCTTTAAGGAAATCGTGTGTCGATTTTTTCAAAATTGTTAATAGAAAATTAATTTTTCGGTTATTATCGGAGGTACGATATCTCCTCGTGAAGTCGAACCTGGAATTTTATTTCATTTTTTTTTAACTAAATTTATTCTGGATTTTTTTTTTTTTTTTTTTTTTAACACTAAAAAAGAAAATCAGGGAAACGTAGAAAAATGAAGAGAGAAAAAAAAAACAAAACAAGAATGACAATGAAAGAGAAAAAAAAACAAAATAAAAAAGCAAAAAATAAAGTAAAAGAAAGAGTGGCAAAAAAAAGAAAGATGC